TATATATATTTATTATTTTTTTGGTTAGCAAATACAATTAGTTTCGGCCGACCGATTAATTTTATATTTTTCCCTTAAAATAGGAATAACCCAACCCAGCCTGACCCAATACTCATATACGTAAGTTAAAATAATAGGAGTACTAAAAGTGAATTCTTTCCCTATAAGAAACTTAGTTCGGAATGCATGAGATTCTGACAAAAAAATAAGGAAATAAAAGGTATAATTAGAGAGCACTTGAAATAAAAATGCTATTGATTTGAATAAAAATCTTGAAAAGAAAAAATAAAAGATAGAAGTATCATGTTCAGAATGATTTACTATTCACTTTTAGTATTATTTTAATTTTTATATATGAGTATTGGGTCAGGTGGGCCAGGTCGGGTTGGCTCGTCCCTATTTTAATTGGATTATTATTTATTAGACTGAAAATAAGAAAATAAAAACCACAAAATTAGAAAATACTACTGAAAAATTATATTTTTCAATCACTATGATTTTTGTGTGAGTTAGTAAAAGTTTTATGATTTTTATGTGAGAAAACATAGTTATATGACTTTGGTAAAAAAAAAATTATACTTATATAATTTTTGTGTGAAAAAATAAAATTATATAACTTTAATGAAAAAAGTCATAGTTATATGAATTATCAGTAACTAATGGCAATTGATAACATCTGAGACAAAGAAAAGACTACCAAAACAGAAGGTCACAAGATTTACTAATTATCTGTAAAGATTTTTAGTGGTGAAAAATAGAACTTCTTTTCTGTTTTAAGTAAGAGGAGTAATATGTAAAAACAAACACCCTTTTATTAATACAGTTAGGCCGGCCCCGTCCATGATAGCGGACTCTTTTTCTTCTATTATTTATTGGGACTTTTTTTTTAGGGATTTGAAGCCGTACTCTATATTTATGTCGCATATATGTATCCTATTTTTAATAATTATTGATTTGGTAGTCAGCTAACAAAAATCCGTAATAATATGACAATTATATCCCTTACAAAAGATATAAAACTTGCATCACGCATTAATCGCGTGATCTGCAACCTCATTTGTTAAAAATTTCACATAGAAGCTAAAACTTCATGCTAATGCATGCTGAAGTTATTTATCCTGCAGTCTACAGTTTTGTCATGAGTTTTATCCGAAACTTCAGTCTAAACATGCTGAAGGTTTTTAGTTCATTTAGTAAAACTTCAGACTAAACATGTTTAAGTTTTTGTCTTGCAGTATGTAATTTTCTAATGAGTTTTTGCTAATGCATGTTGAAGTTATTTAGTTCATTTGCTAAAATTTCATACCAAAACATGCTGAAGTTTTGTTCCGCAATCTACAGTTTTGTCATGAATTTTATCCGAAACTTCAGTCTAAACAAGCTGAAATTTTTTAATTCATTTGCTAAAATTTCAGACTAAACATGCTTAAGTTTTTGTCTTGCAGTATGTAATTTTCTAATGAGTTTTTGCTAATGCATGCTGAACTTATTTAGTTCATTTGCTAAAATTTCAGACTAAACATGCTTAAGTTTTTGTCTTGCAGTATGTAATTTTCTAATGAGTTTTTGCTAATGCATGCTGAACTTATTTAGTTCATTTGCTAAAATTTCATACCAAAACATGCAGAAGTTTTGTCCTGCAATCCACAGTTTTGTCAATAATCTTTTATTAAAGAAGGAAAAAATCGTCTTTTTAAAACGCTTTTAACAATAAAAAAAAAACGGGTAGGGATGCAAACAGGTATAAGTTAAAAAGGGGCTACCAAATATGGAGCCCCATGCAATTTTTACGACTTTTTTGTATATACAAAATCTTAAACCTATTTACCCGGTTTGTCTATGTTTTTCTATTTACAGAAAGTAATTAAAGTTTTTTACAAAATATATAGAAATCCAGTCAAAAACTATAATTTACATACAGTTTATATACAATTTGTATACAATTATGTTAGTTATATATATTTTGTATGTTGTTTCTACACCCGATCCAAACAAATAATAATTTCGCAAAATTTAATTTTCAAAATCAAAGCTTTAAAGTTTTTTAAGGACTATCAATTGAGTTTTAATGAATTAACATAGTTTGAGTCCAAAATCCTTTTTCCATAAGCGAAAAAGCTGAACAATTTTATCAATTGATAATAATCCAACAACATATAGCATAAGTTTATTCCTCGAAAAGAAATCCAGAAAGGAACCTCATGAATTATACATTTTCGTTAAGTCCTGTTGCTCCTATGTCTACCAGCAGTTTTTTATTCTGAAAAGTATCCAAATTTGTCCTTTTGGTTGTGATAATTGTATTTAGTAAATTTTGAAGAATCATTTGATTGGTTTTTCATGGATTTTGTGTTATTTTGATCTACAATTTAAAATAAAAACTTCATTTTCTTTCACTCCATTCCATATCAATTTAACTATTAAAATATTACATCAGATAATCAACCTTAGGATGTAGCATAACTACATAAGCTGTTTTGCATATAGAAAATGGCATCCGATCATGCAACTATAATAAAACAAATTACTATTACGAGATTAACCTTTATTTGTGTAAACCGAGTATATATAATAAGGCGTCAAGTTTTACCTAATTAAATTTTAATGGGTAGAGTTATTTAATATTTGTATTGACGGAGATAGCAGGAACCTAATAAAATAATCATGGTGCGTGCATGCAAGCTGGGGGACCCACTATCGTTAAAAAAAAAGGCAGGCATTAATTCTGAATTTAAGATATATCCCTTGTTATTAATTCAGAATTTTTAAATATGCTTTTGGCCCAAAAAGGACAAAAAAGGTTCCAAACTTAACCTGTTCAATTATTTCGTCATATGATGACACAAGAAGAATGACACTTAAAAAAGGTAAATTAAAGAAACTCCATAGATACTGCTAGGAAGGTGGTAAGGAAGCTCATGTCAAAACACAAAGATTAACCACACAATCTATAATACTATATAAAACCACACTATCAAATTATTAAACACAACCACATCATTCATTCTATTTTGAGAGACTCTCTAAAGTCTTTCTTCTTTGGCTTCTTCTCAAATATTTAAACCATGTTTGGCTCTTCCACTTTCCAAGAAACAATCAATATTTCTCATCAAACTATAAACCCTAATTTTGCCTTTTCTCCTCTCATCAATATGAATCAAGATCATTGCCACAATATGTATCAAGATTTTGACACTTCGTTTATTGATCAGTTGATTAATGATAGTGAAGAATATTCCAACTCAAATAACAGCTTTAATACTTCACTTTATTCACAAAATCCTTTCATGCAACAAGAGATAAGCACTAGTACCTATAGTGGAAGCTGCTCATCAGCTAGTTCATTTGATGCCACACCAACAAATATTCACATGAATGAGTAAGTCACTACTAAACTAAGGGTGATAATTCTGGAGAATATTGATAATTATTCATTGATCGATTTTAATGGTTTATATATTTAATTATTTATTCACTTGTTTGTTTGATGTTGATGTTTTAAAGAAATTCAAGCAAGGGGATAGAGAAAGAAAAGAAGGCTGAAAAGCATGCAATTGCTTTTAGAACAAAGACCGAGCTTGAGATCTTGGATGATGGATACAAATGGAGGAAATATGGAAAAAAGAAGGTGAAAAGTAACACAAATCCAAGGTAAATATATCAAATTTCTAAGTTCTAGCTTGCGAACTGATCGTCTACATTAATATGATAATTATTTTGATGTTTTGGTGCAAATTCTTTCTATATATATAGTATTATTACTTTTGCTTTTGAAGGTGGATTATTTCAGAAATATTCAAGGATTGTACACGCACTAAATATACAAAAGCCAATTATTGGGTGCTAGAAGTCTTTCATTTATGTGTTTGTTTAATTAACTAAGAATTGCAAAGATTAGAAGCTCAAACTTGATTAAAATTCATTTTTTCACAAGTACGGGCACACAAATATTTAGATAGAGAGTTTAAAGAATGTACCTTTTTTAATATATACACACACATATCTAAAGTCGTCCTATTATATGAGTATCACAAATTATGGTCTAAATAGACTGCGCTTGAGTCACTTGATTCTGGAAATCGTCTTTTTCATAACCCCTCCCCCAAACTCCCACAACAAAAATCTCAAGTTAAGATTTGAACTTTAAGCATTCTAAAATATAATTTAAAATAACAAGTTAAGAATTGAATTAAAACTACTAGGTCAGGCACAAAAATACATTATGAATGGGACATAAATAAAGTTTTAAAGGAGATAGCGATTAAATGTGTTCTTTAACTCACAATGGATATATTGAAGACTTGGAGCAGTAAGTCAGCGACTGACTGATGCAGATTATCCCCAGCTAGCATCTGCTTTATTCATTCTTGTCGGTTCCTAACTTCCTATCGAATTTATTCCAATATCTTTTAGTTATAAATTTTAGATTCTTTGTTCTACACTTTTTAAAACTTTAATTCTATTTTGCCTGGAACCACACGGAATTAAATTATTTCAAACGATTTACACTCTCTTAGAATTCATGTAAAACTAATGAAAACTATGGCACAATGAACAAAATAATATGTATAACAATAAACTAAGTTTTAGTAATCATGTTATTAAGTCTACTTTAGATCGATCCAATATTTGTTAGGAGTTTTTAGGTTTTATATACCACTGGAAAATGCAAAAAACTTGTGGCGCTTGAAAAACCTATAGTTTTGTAATATTGAACCAAGAAAATATGTTTAAATATTAAGAATTTATACGGCCAATAATCTCAACTAACTAATATTGCTGGGAATTGAGGTATAATTATTGTTGTTTAGTTTTTTTTCCTTTTCTTTTTATCTTTTCACCTTTCATCTTGAGATAAAATAACACATAAATGAAATATATATGTATCCCAATAGGGAATACAACATATATCAGAAATGTACTAATCCAATTAAATTAAACAGGAATTACTACAAGTGTTCAAGTGGATGTTGCAAGGTAAAGAAGAAGGTGGAAAGAGATGGAAATGATTCCAGCTATTTGATAACAACATATGAAGGAAAACACAATCATGAAAGCCCCTTTATCATTTACTGCCAAGAAAAGTCAACAGTCAGTTTTCACAATGATCAATGGAGTTTGCAATTAGCAGATTCTTTGTGGTGATCTTCTTGGAGCTGCTAGAAGACTTTATTCCATAATTAGAAACATTAATATGTGTCAATCCCTTTATATATAGGAAGGAAACATATATATACTACTTCTTTATATATAATTAATTGCTCACTCCTTGTATATAATCATGTCAAATATAATATGTAGGTAAAGTTATTTTCTAATGGTGACTTCAGTCAGTAATTATACTACTTTTAATTTAGTTGCATAACTATAATATCTATCGTTTAAGGATTAAACTGTGTTTATTGATCAATGCAATTTAATTGGTTATATCAAGTTATTACTTTACTTTTCATGCTACTATATTAGTTTTGCTACGAAGAGTTACATGTTTATATGAATTTAATTTGAGGGTATAAAATATTTATATATTTATAGTGTACATAACTTATACTCATCACTTTACATGACATTGAATAACTGACCAACTACAATCAAAGGAAATTCGTCATATATTTCTAACTAAAATGATGGCAATACTTCTCGACTCCAAGACGTTAGACCACAATACCGAACCCAAGGTCCATTAAACGTGGGCTCTTAAAGGAGAACAATTATACACACTAATGTATTTGGGTAAAAGTTTTACCTTGCGGTCGAAACTAATTATATTTGATAGCCGTAAAAATATATAAAATTTATATATTTTTTTATATATAACATACTAATATGTATATATATATACAAATAATATGCAAAATATATATATATTTTTGGCTATTATTTTGAGAGCGGTTATACAATGATATTTTCCTAATGTATTTTACTTTGCTAGCCAATTTTTAAATCAAATGGGAATAAGAAATATACTTGTTAAAAAACGTTCAAACATCAAATCATGCTAATAATTAATTAAAATGAAAATAAACACCACTTAACTATTTTAATTAAGTGATAAATCTTATGTAGAGGACAAAAGTCATACACTTAATATTTATTTGCATGATTTAGGTCCGAATAAGTATTTTTCTTGATATATGTTCGTTGAGATCAAATTAACGATTCTAAAATAAATGTCATTTTAGCCAAAGTCCAAACTAATATGGTTCAAAATAAGTTAGGAAATCAAGTCCATGTCAATTTTTCTTTTTTATAACTATCATTGCTCCAACAAATGATTTAAAAAGTCTGAAGTTAGATAAATTATAATTTTGAGGAGAGCTAAATAATAATTTAGTCATATAACTTTTGCGATGAATGTTATCAAATGAAATTTTTAATGATTGTATCAAAACCTTGGATGAATTTATTTTTGACCGTAAGAAGTACATAATTACAAAGATAGTAATTAATATATAGTCTAAGTAATAATTACTGCAACATAACAATGTCCATACACAGTATTTGCTCATCTGTCCAACAAATAGGTGTCTGAAAATATCGAAATTGGCGCCGCTTTCCTCTGCTCTCTCTCTCTCTCTCTCTCTCTCTCTCTCTCTCTACAACCCCATTTCTTTTCTTCTGAAAATTGTCAACCCAGATTTGAAATCCCAAAAGTCCAAAAGGGAAAATACAAACCAAAAAAGGGTTCACCTTTTGTTAATTTGATTTTCTTATCACCATGTCTATGCGTAGGAGAACCTTGCTTAAAGTCATCGTCCTCGGCGATAGTGGGTACGTCCCTTTTTAACTCTTTTCTCTCTTTTTTTTTTCATTATTAACTTTTTATATTTGAGAAATTTCTGATCCCAGGGCTAGTCATTTGGAAAATTTTTGGAGTATATAATGCTAATTTCATTTCTCTTTTTATCGTTTTCAGGGTTGGTAAAACGTCATTAATGAATCAGTATCCTTCTCTACCACATTCCCTAATTATTGGAGGTCAAAGCTTAATTTTTTTTTTAATTTACGAATTGGGTATTTCGATTTTATCAATTATCTTTTATTAGCTTCAATTTATAGTTAACTTATTATTAGTTCATTTTTATGGCATTGCAAATACCTGTAAGTATTTACTCCCTCCGTGCTTGTTTGACTGGGCACAGATCATTAAGGTAAATTAAAGTTAAATCATTTCTAAATATAGAAAGGTATCACATAACCGAGGGAGTATTGTTTTGGGCTCTTTTGTTTACCGTATATTTGTTGTAATCACCGTTTATGGGTGGGTTTATAAGTTTTGGACATGTGGGATCTTTGACCTATAGCAAAGATACGTACACAAGAAGTTCAGCCAGCAATATAAAGCTACAATTGGAGCTGATTTCGTGACAAAAGAGCTTCAAATTGATGACAGGCTTGTTACTCTCCAAGTGAGTTTCTTGGTTATTTATATGTGAAAAATATTCTGATGTTTATGTGCTTTTAAATGCATAAGAGTAGCTGAACGATTTTTGGGGATTATGTATTTGCTGAATGTGTTTGTGTTCTTGTTTGGTAGATATGGGATACAGCTGGCCAAGAGAGATTTCAGAGTCTTGGAGTTGCATTCTATAGAGGTGCAGATTGCTGCGTTTTGGTCTATGATGTCAATGTTATGAGATCCTTTGATAACCTTGACAATTGGCATGAAGAATTTCTCAAACAGGTTGGGTGATTATTCTCCGTGGATTTATTTGTCTCAGTGGTTTTTTCTTGTTCAGTGAATTAGGGTTTCTTGACTGCTTTATACATTGCTAAGAGTCATGTTATTGACGAGTAGGCAAACATCTCTGAGATGCTTAGGATGGACATTTCTTCTTTGAATCCCGATGGGGGTTATTTTTCGTATTCTAATTAGGGCTAGAACTGAACTTAGGTGCATTGTTTGTTCTGTTGGTATATGGAACTCATGAGCAACCTATAATCAAAAGACCAAGATATAAAGGCATACCTATTTAGGAATTGAACTGGGTATTGCAGAGATTAAACTAGTTATCTGTTAGTAGAAATGCCCTCCATCTTCTATTCTCCACATCATCTTTTGTTTAAAGCATCGAGCAGACTTGTGAACCAATTGAAGAGAGAAAATGAGAACAGAAAGAGCATTAAGTTTGCTATCTGGTTTGTTGTTGGTGCATCAAAGTCTTATTAGGCTGCTTCAGTTGGTGTACTACCCAAATTCTTCCGTCTAAGTGGGAACATGTACATGAAGAATGTGCAAGTCTGCAAGATGATTGGAAAAATTTACAGAAGAAGGATTTATAGTCAAAATATAATCATGTATTTAATGCTTAAACCTTACTGTTAGAAGACGAAGAGAGTCAAAATTGAACAAAACCAACAAAAGGACTAGCTGCTTTCCCTTCATATATCTGTCTGTAAAAATGGGAAATGAACATTAGGAAATAAGGCTTCATTTTGGTTGTGTGTATATGTAGAAATGAGAATACACGAATATGCAAACATATAATTATAAAAACCAAACAGTATAGTGCAGCGTTTTGTTTAATGATCTCCCTGCAGATGAATCAATGTGCCATGTCTCTGAATTTGGTCGTCTATATGAATTCTTATAGTCCATGTTGCTCCATTTTAAGCTCATCTCCGTCCTATATTATGTAAATTAAAAATAAAAAGCACTAGAAGTTATCCATATTTTCTACTAGGCATAAATCTGACTCCTAGACAATAATGAACCTAAAGTAATCATACTAACATGATTAAAACTTAATCCCAACTCATTAATATCGCCTATATATATCTTTTTCTTCCATCGTGCCCTATATTTTACTAGGCCTGCATGTTTTACAAGAGAAATTAGTTTTAAGCCTAACATTGAGTAGTTTATAGAAGTAGATGATTCCTGCAATTTCTTTCCTGTGTAAGATCCCAACAAGTAAAGGTTTGGGATTATGCTGTGTATCTAAAGAGTTTTCACATATGGTCTATATGTTCAGATCTTAATTGGACTTCTTCTGGTGTAACATTGGAATGTATTATCATTTCGTCATGCAAATATTGTGTTGGTGATTGTTAAATTAAGACTAGCTCTGTTCCATGTTAACCGACAGAATTTGTTGATATGCAGGCTAATCCACCAGACCCTAAAACATTTCCTTTCATATTACTGGGGAACAAGATTGATATAGATGGTGGAAATAGCAGAGTGGTAAGATAATCGTAGTGCTAAAGTTTTCAAGTTATGGACTTTGGATTCTATGAGAGTTTTCCTTTTCATATTCTGTGCGACATTTGTAATTGATTTATCTTTTGCATGCTGAACAGGTTTCTGAGAAGAAAGCAAAGGAATGGTGTGCTTCAAAAGGGATACCTTACTTTGAGACATCAGCGAAAGAGGATATAAATGTTGATGCTGCATTCTTGTCTATTGCAAAAACTGCTTTGGCCAATGAACATGAGCAAGATATGTAAGTATATGTGAATTTGAATATAAACAAAGCTTTGTTTGTTGGTTGTTGCTTGTATGAGATATGATGCTTACATACCTATAAACTTAGCGGTAACAATAAGATGAGCTAGCTTAAGTAATGAGAGCCCAAAGATAAAAAAATAAAAGGGCAGCTCGGTGCACTAAGCTCCCGCTATGCGCGGGGTCCGGGGAAGGGCCGGACCACAAGGGTCTATTGTATGTCAAGTATATTTATTCTAACATGTGAACCCTTGAAAGTAGAATGTTTTCTAGCGGACTAGATGAAACTAACATTAAATGTTTGTTGATCATGGGAAAGATGTTTGTTTGGTTTTTGTTTTCTCAAAAAGGTTTTAGAAGAAAAAGAGGAAACCATGTAAAAAAAAACTCTTAGCCAAAAAATAAGGCTAAGAGTTGTTTTTAGATCAAGGTAAACATTGCAACATTGAAAAAACAACTACCTTGCATGTCTTTGTTTTCTGTAATTCCAAAAAACATTTTTGAAAAGCTTCTCGAATCAACCTTTCAAAAAAAAAAACTGTCCAAGAGCCATCTAAAAAACTCTTTTCTTGTTACATGCAAAAGATATTACTTGAATCATAGAGCTTCCCCAAACTTTCATGTCAAGTTTATGATTACATATCTTCAAAAATGTAAGTAATATTGATGCTTCGGCAATTCTATACTAAATGAAGTGCTACAATTTTAGCCCCATTCAGTTTGTAGTTAGCCACTTTTGAATCGTGCAGTTTGTGTAAATTTTTAGAACTTGTTTTCAAGATTGATCTTGGAATGAAAGGCTAACCCGACAGTTCCAAGATTGAGCCTTTGAATGTTGAAGTTGATTTGCTCTGGTGTGCAAAATTTTATCATCTAAGGTATCTGGATAACCAAATATATGGAAAAGTTACTGCTGGAACTAGAAAGATGATTAACTGTGCACTCTCCTGCTATTTCATTCATTTGTCTTTAATGAATCGATGTGTGTAAGACTCGAGATGATTTTGAGGCAATGTGAAGTGGTGGTCTGTGGGTGTTCAACCAAAGTGCAAAAAAGTTTGTTAGAATATCAAGTGAATATGTGTCTAGATTCATATACATCTAGATTCATTGTACTTGAACAAAAAAAATCATATACAATATTCTATAAGATATCTTGGGTATTCTGTATTTAATCATAAAATATTTACTTACCGTGTTTGTATAAAAGTTGATTACCTACCATATTATACATAGCCTAAGACTCCTAGATAAGGAGCACGTATTATGCATCGTTTATCAAGTCAATGAGAAGATTTTCTTTTTTTACATGGTATCAGAGCTTTTACAATATTGGTAGAAACTCAAATACCTTCTGCTACCGGCCACTGTACTAGCCAATGCATGCCACTCGCTGAGCAGTGTTATCTTCTTTTGTTCTTCCTTTTGGTGCCCAATGACCCTCCTCTCTCCTACAATTGGCATCCTTATCTCCAGATAGCCATTCATGCGCCATTCCTCTCTTTTAGGATTGTTTGTGCATCGGCTCATCTTTTCGATGACTGGTGCTGCTAACTTTTATGCAACCGACGCTGTCCTCTAAACTTTGAATTTCTTCAGTATTCTGCCCATTCAAGTTACATTGCTAATGTTTTGGAAATTTGCAACACCATATCTTTTTTTTGGTAATTGAGAATATATTTTTTCCTTGTGGTGCAAGAAACACTTTCTTCCACGAAACATTTGCCAACAACTTTCCAGAGGAAATAATTGCAGCACTGTTTCCTTTTTTGGTGATTGTGCAGTTCCAATGAGATCTCGAAGTCAACTTTCCATGTTCTAAAAATAAGTAGACTCAAGTTGGTTTTCCCACTTTGAGTTTGAGGGGCCATGTTGGAATATCAATTGAATGTGTCTAGATTCATACACGTCTAGATTTATTATACTTGGATAAAAAATTTATATAGAATATTCTATAGGATACCTTGGGTATTCTGTATTTAATTATTGAATATTACTTACCTTAGTAGTATAAGGATTGGTTAGCTATCATATTATACATAGTCTAAGATTCCTATATAAAGAGCACCTTTTGTACATCGTTAATCAATTCAATGAGAAGTTCTTTTCTATTTTCACATGGTATCTCATTGACTTGTTTAACAATGTACAAGAGATGCTCCTTATATATGAGTCTTAAGCTATGTACAATATGGTAAGTAATCAATCCTATACAAATAAGGTTAGTAAATATTCTATAATTAAATATCAAATAACCTAAGGTATTCAATAGAATATTCTATATGATTTTCCTTATTCAAGTATAATGAATCTAGATATGTATGAATTTAAATACATATTCACTTGATATTCTAACATGCCCTTTCAAACTTAAAATAAGGAAAGCAACTTGAGTTTGGTTTTATCAAAAACATACAATGTTGATACCGAATTCTCGCTGGATTCATGCACAATCACAAAATATAAATGCATTGTTGGAACTATTTCCTCCGAGAAGTTGTTGGTAACTGCATAATGAAAGAATATGCTCGTTGAACTACACACAAAAAAAGATCTTTTTTCAATCACCGAAAACAAATATGGTGTTGCAGATCTCTAGGACATCGGTCGCATAAAAAGTAACGTCTCTCGCCAGAGAAATGAATGGTGCTTGAACAATCCTAAGGAGAGGAATGACGCGTAAACACTCATCTAGATGTAGGGTCAGCAATTGATGGAGCGAGGAGTGTCATCAGACAATAAAAGAAAAAAAACATTGGCTAGGCAAGCAGCACTTTTGGCCGTGCTGGTAGCTTCCGTAGTCTCTAGATTGTGAAGGCTCTAATACCAAGTGAAAAGAGAAATCGATTAACAATGTACAATAGGTGCTCCTTATGTAGGGGTCTTAGGATATGTACAATTATGGTAGATAATAGTTAAATACAGAATATTTTTAGTATCATGTATCATATTCTATATGATTTTCCTTATTCAAGCAATGAACTTAGACGTATATGAATGTAGATACATATTCACTTGATATTCTAACAGTGACCTCAAGAGAAATTGAAATTAGAAGTGAAGATACCATTGAGTGCTTAATTAGTGATAATTCTTCAGTGATCCGCCTAACGCCGTCAGTATAGCCGTTTCACAAGGGTATGCAGATTTTAAGTCTTTGGTGGCAGAGCTTAACATTTGACCTGATAATGTAGCTAAAAAGTCCAATCAATGTGGTGAGGTTAGGCATGGTTGGGTTGTAAAGGACCAGACTTTTGATGATGACTCCAGAGAGTAGAGTCGTCAACTATTGACGTCTTCAATAGATTTTGTGGCTATACTTGTGTTGATTTGGGAGATATAACTTAGACAATGGTGACTTTGTTTGGTTTCACTAATTTACCTGCCTAAAAGCCTGATACTGAAAAACAGAGTCGATAATGTGCTATGTTAGAGTTGATTACACAGACTTGACAGATAAATTTTCTATTCACTACAGAATTTAGGATCAGAAGGAAGTGATGGACAGTAGCATCAGTTTTTCATAGATATAGCACTTCATGCTTTTATATTCTGTAGCCTTTGGCGTGCCTGCAAGATACAGATGTTCTGTGTTATCAGGGAAGCTTTAGTGGTCTATATATTTTGGTGCAATGATCGCTGCTCTACTTTTCATAAAACAAATGGAATATGTTGTGGTAGCTCAAAACTCAAGTAACTCTGACGTATGGTTCATAAAGAGTTCAAGAGCTCATAGATTTGTTGGAATGTCATTTCATCATAGGATGTTCTACTATGGCGCCTGCTGCTTCTGTAACAATGAAAGTTTAGACAGGCAATGGTTGGTTATTAGGATAAACTCCAATGAATCTTGTTAGAGTGCATTTCTAATAAGATAATATCACTTTAATCTTTGAACCTGAAAAAGTATTTCGGAAATCGGAATTAGTATATCTCTGATAATTATGACAGTAGTACGTTAAATGGTTTTCCCTGAGTTTTCTGTACAGGGCGTAGAATAATTGAGTAATAATATCCTGATTGACTACCGACTATTAATGATATAGCGACTGTGGAAGTGAAAATGCATTTTGGTAGGCCAGATAGTGAACCTACTCTATGTTCTTCATCCTCTACATTCAACTACTGCATTTTGGCAGCTAGGGAACCTGCATATACTAAAATCTTGTGTTCTGTTTTCCAGATACTTCCAGGGCATTCCGGAGGCAGTTTCAGAGACGGAGCAAAGAGGTGGTTGTGCATGTTAAGGTGGATGAAGCAATTTCATTGAGTGCTATATGTAATCGCTGTTGTTGCCTATTTTTCCTGCAACAGTATCGTTACTCTCAGGCCGTAACCATTCNGCCATTCTTTTGTACCCATTACTACATATACTCTTCACTTAAGATTGCATATTCTATTGATTTCCTCAGTGTTGTTTTGGAAAGAAGTACATCTTTGTCACATTCAGACACTGGAGGTATAGGAACTCAGGAATGTCTCCTTGTATTGCATTTGGCTCTGAGAAAGATTCTAATTGTGCATTTTGCCGTACCCTGGCTGGTTGGATTTTATTGTATACTCTGAAAATTGTATTTTTCTACATCTACGTATAACAATGAATTGGATTGGTAACTGTTACTCCATGAACTTTCAGTTAGGCGAAATTATTTGTTATGCAAAAAAATTACTGTTTGCTTCATGCATGGAGCGGATGAAAAAATACTATCTTTTCTTTTTAAAGCTCAGGTATGCAGAAGTAGCACCAGATTGTGTAAGTTTACAGGAGACTTAAATGAATGATATTGATACCAATCTTCTGGTTGCACATGACTAAATAAATAACAATCATGTTTCAGCATAACTCGCTCTAGATAATAGATTATAGTGATGGGCATGAGTATTTTCCAGATGATTTTTTCAACCTAAAACTTTGAAGATCAGTAATCATTGTTGCAATTAAGTTTCGGTTGTATGAATACCCAATAGGTCAGGAAAAATTGAAGATCAAACTGTCAAAGTCAACGGGACATTTCACTTGGATAGACCTTGAAATATATTTTGTAGCAAAAACTAAAATAGGTTGATCCACAATTAAATTGGATATACTTACAACAACAACAATAACATACCCAATATTATTCCACACCGTGGGGTCTGAGGAGGGTAGTGTGTACGCAGGCCTTACCCCTACTTTGTAAGGATAGAGAGACTGTTTCCAATAGACCCTCGGCTTAGGAAAGTATAAGCACCACATTAATGAAAATATAGACAAGAAGGGACAGTACCAAAAAGCCATATAAAAGCAGAATAAAAATAACAAGACATTAAGGTGATCAACAATGAAAGAAACAACGGTTAGTCATAAAAACCTACTACCAACTGAAAGCGAGACTGTATGCTAATACTACTTTATGAACACTCTAGACTACCTACTCTACTATTCTCATTCTCGACCTCCATACCTTCCTATCAAGGGTCATGTCCTCGGTCAGCTGAAGTTGGGCCATGTCTTGCCTAATCACCTCTCCCCACCTCTTCTTTGGCCTACCTCTACCTCTCCGTAGGCCCTCCAATGTCAATCTCTCACACCTCCTCACCGGGGCGTCTGTGCTCCTCCTCCTCATATGACCAAACCACCTAAGCTGCACTTCCCGCATCTTGTCCTCATATAACCTCATTTTTTTATCCTATCTAACCCGGTGTGCCCACACATTCATCTCAACATCCTCACATTCATCTCAACATCCTCATCTCTGCTACCTTCATCTTCTGGACGTGAGCGATCTTGACTAGCCAACACTCAACCCCATACAACATCGTGAAAAATATAATTAATTGGATATAATTAATCTTGGAAAATATATTCTTTTGTTGTTTTTATTGAATAGGAAAAAAAAAAAAAGGCAATGATGTGCTTCCAATCTCTGCTTGAATGAATGAATTAAATATTAGTGTACCAATTGCTTTCTCCACGTTTATTTCCTCCTTTCTTTTCTTTTTTTCTTTTTTTTGGCTTGGAAAAAAAAGAAATTTTAATTTGCAAATATAGTATAGTACCTTTTATTTGAAAGGGAATGAAGTCATGAAATGAAAGACTTTACTTATCAAGTATGATCAACAACAACAAGAAGCAACTCGTTTCCATTATTATGACTACAAATACAAGAAATTTTGAACTTGAAGACAGTGACACAAACTCAGTGGACGTGGAGCAATGACCTTCTCACATTTTTTTCTTCCATTTTTAACAAGCTTCCTTTCCTCATTTACAAAACTGGTAGACGAAGACACAGTAGAGGAAGATGGCTGTAACATTGGCAATTGCATTAAAAAGTCTCTTCGCCGTGTTGGGATGTTTGGCCTCAGCCGTTGTAATCTATACTGTCGTCACTGATGGCCTCCCTTTCCGCTTAGAACTCCTCACCCCGTATTTTTTCTTTTCTCTCTATCTTACTAATTACTATTCTATTTTGATTTTTTCTTGGTTGGATAAATGGTAAAAAAAAGTTTGTAGACTTTGTTGAATTATGGAACGGCATTATCTAAAAGCTTAAATTGTTTTAAAAGAAAAATACTTTTATATATGTGAAAATATATTTTTTATAAATAATATATTGTGTTCAGTAGTTCTATCTGCTCTATTACTATATTAATTTATGTGAGCACCTTCAACCTGTTAGAAATGAGGCAGTTTTTATTTATTTAATTACGTCTTAACTGACACTTATGTTATATAGTAGCATTTTTGTGAGAATGGTCAGGAGAAAAGAACTAGCTAGGCATTGAGAATTTGACTTTGGAAAAACAGTTTTAGTTCCATCTGTTTTCTGAACAATTTGAAATTGGTGGAATGGATGTTGCAGGTGGATGGCAGCAACCTTGATAGATTTCTACATCAACATTTTTGCAATAGGGGTATGACATGATTATTTTTTAGTGCTTCTGAATGTTTACTCTGAAGTTCAATGATTTTTATTTGGTACAGTGTCACTAGCATTGGACATTAAAGAGAACATGTTTGAATTTGCCTATAAACGAATAGTTAAAACTCAACTAGCTTCAAAGCTAGTGCTAATATAACATGATTTGCTAGTAACTAATGTAATGTGGGAATTGGAAGAATTTTAACACCAATAGTGTGAAGGCTTTCGCGTTTTTATCCATAGCTTTAGGCTTAGAATTGATCATGAACTTTAGTATGGGGACTGGGTCAACTTTAGCATCGGGTTTTCACATTTTTATCAATAGCCTTTAGCTGAAAACTGAAAATCTCTTTTACACTTCATTAAGAGCCGCAGACATTTGTGCAAATACTAGTAAAACTAGCATCTTACAGTCTGCATTTTTAATCCATGGCCTTAAGCTGAGATTTGAAGTTTTCTTTTGCACTAATGTATAATGTCATCCTGCAGTTTAAGCAAAACATTGATTAGGAAAATATCTAACCTGTAGTTGACTCTCTTGTCTCTTTATTTTTTGTTGGGGTGAGTCTTTGAGGTCCTTTAGTTTTCAATTGCTTTGACAACAATTTTGTGATTCCAAGATATTGGTCTGAATGCATCACATATTGCTATGTTTCTCTGCTCTTATCTCCAAAAGATTTGCTCTCATGTTTTGGCATTGTGTTATCATATTAGTCCTGGGTTGCCTACAAGGAATCGAACTGGATTACTGCACTACTTTGGGCGGTCTTGCTGTTCTGTTTAGGAAGGTATGCCTACCTTATTCTTGTATACAAAACAACTGTACCGACAATGAACTTTTAGTTTAGATGATGACTGTCCTTTAAGCTTTCTCTAAGCATCTTTTATAAGACTGAATTCTTGGTTGGAATTTTCACATATATGAAGAGTGACCAATCAATCAATTTATATGGAACCATGTAGATAACTTTGTTGGTATACACCCAATCAATCAATCGATCAACTATACCTCGATCCGATGCAACATGAATCCTCTACATATTCTGCTATATTCTGGCCCATTTCATTCCAGTACTAGCATGAAATTTGTCTTGTAAGGCAAAGTTTTAGAAATTCTCTAAATATCTCCCTTATGACCCTAATATCTGTGTAACTGCAAAAATTGATCCTCGGTCCGCACTAATTGGTATTGTTACATGGATCTCTGCTGCCATTGTGTTCTCCTCCATGTGATATAGGCATATTTCATTCCCTTTTAGCACCTTCAATCACCATCATGTTGCTCCAAGGGACTGGTGTATTTGGAGGTTGCATAAGGTATTGGCAAACTATTACAGGTGCCTTTCTCTCGTTATATCCTCTATGTGTGAGACTGCACATTTATCTTAATATCCTTTGGCATCCAGCATTCCATAAGATAAAATTTTCTTAGATTCTATTGGCAATGAATATCTTCCTTTTCAGTTTGTATTATCCTTTTATGGCATCAGAATGCCATGGTGTTATTGCCCTTAACGGTGTTCAGACAATATTATCCATAAACGTTTATCAGTTTGTGACTATATATTCAGGGATTGTGATAACCTTTTCTCTAACCCCTTCGCAGCATTACTACATGTGGCTACATTATCTTGCAGTTCCTGAATCTTTCAACTCAAGAATCTATACAGGATCCAATTTACTTTGTCCTATTACGACGCCAGAAAAAGTAAGTTTCTGATAACCTACTCTTTGCAGAAAAGAACTGTAGTAGAACTTTAACTGATACAAATAAGTGTTACTTGGAGTTTGAAGCTCTCCCATCAATGTTATATCATGAGACACATCTATTTGTGTTAGTTTTCTTTCTGAAAATGAGCTTAACTTACAATGATTTGATGAAATTTTGTGATTTAGGAATGAAACAGAACAAAGGAGGAAGTGTTCTCTTTTAACTGCAAGAATTCTATCTCTTGTTTTGGGCTGTCTGATGCTAGGGACACTGATTTACACCATTGTAACTGATGGTTCTCCATTTCGCAGAGATGTTTTCACTCCGTAAGTTCTTTACTTATTCCTAACTTTTAATCAGATGACCATCAACTTTGACTATAGTCTTTCCTAGTAAAGTGGAGACTGGAACATATTTTAGAGGATATTAGTTGTGACGGATTACTTTGTCAGCACTTAAAATATTTGTTTGTTTTCTTGTTTGAGCTAATAGCTAGATCTTCTTTGTTTTGCTTTCTAAATTGATGCACTTTTAAGGGAAGTGGCAGAAACTTCTCTTAACTGGAAGTCTTTGTGCTACTCTGGAGGAAAACACCCTTCTCATTTTTTCAGTATGTTTTATGCTCTTCAGCATCTTATATCCTTCAGGAAGTATATGTCTTTCCCGGAATGAGATTCCTAAATGAGAGAATATATTTGTTACAGTGATCTGAGGTTGGGATAAGGTTACTGAGAATGATTTGCGCTCCTAAAATGTATAAATTGTTTGTCTGATAATTTGATTGACTTGCTCATTTTGCATGGACAAAGACTATTGATGATATCTTACCTCATACTATCATTTAGTCCTTGATAATACTATATGAACTTAAAATATCAAAATATTTGACTGGATTGATCTATGTTGAGCTTTCTCAGTTTCCCCGGAAAACTTGATACTACCTTCAGTGTGACATATGACAGATAAGTATCTATGGAATTTCACATTCTATGATCGGAAGACGTGTGAAACACGAGGGGAGGGGTGAATTGTGCCCAATTTAAAAACTTAGTTGACTAGAGAGAGAAATAGTCGACTAATCTTTTCCAGCAGGTTTGATTTCAGAAGAAGTAAATTATGCAGAAACAAAAACAGTAAAGACACAGGAGTTTTATACTGGTTCAGTACCGGTGTGGTACCTACATCCAGTTCCTTGGGTCACTAGGGTTCTCTTAGATCTTCAATATTAAGTCATTACAACAGTTGTGGTTTTAGTTCGTTCACCACTAACGATATTCAGCAACAATGTTTATCTTTGCTTGACACAACTCTTGTTTTGTCTTCTTACTCTTTTTATCTTTTGCGACACTAGTAAACTCAAGAATACTGTGTTTGTACTAAGAACTAAAAAGATATAGAAACATGTGTTAGGTTGCGTAAACTTCCTCGTCCTTCCTCCTCTTCTTTAATAGTGCTCGATTGAGTTCCTAATTCCTCTTTCTGAGATTGTTGAAAATAATTGATAGTGTGACTTTTCCTTTTGAGGCAGAATCTTCTAAGAGTAGGACCCAGGGGTAGCCTCATAAATCCAGCGTGTGAAGTACAACCAGATTCATTCTCAATGTGCAATTTGGCTCCTTTGTCTTTTCAATCATTTGCTCCTGATTCTTCCGCTGATTTCTCGTACTTGATTGATTTCTTTTCCTTCCTTGTATGCTTGAGAATCTCTTGCTTGTTTGATTGATTCCCTTTCCTTCCTTGTATTCCTTTGATGGGCAGATTTGAATATCATAGCCGTTGGCTCTTTGATATGCTAGATTGATTTTCTTTCCTTGTATTCTTCAGAGCCGTTGCTTCTTAATTCTCTTATGCCTCCTTGGATTTGATTAGTGAATCTGCACAGATAGTAGTTTTACATTAGTCAAGGCTTTTTGTTATTAATCATCATTAAAATTCTAAACCTAACAACGCGTTGTTCTGATGCTAAATTTTAATCAGAATGTTGTATTTGTTATCCTCTTCTTTGCTTTCTAAAATTGAACTTATGAAATACTTTTGAAATGAGCTTTTTCTTCCATTACATGGATTTGCTATGTACAGGGCATTCTTTGGGCCTGGATTTAGGAAAACTGTCAGTCTAGAAAGCTGTTTTCTTCTTTGTCCAAAGGGCTGCAATCCATCATTTGCAAATTTGTTTGAAAGTTTCTTCTTGAAAGCAAACCCTGTGAGTTTGTGATGAAGTGATACACGTGCATCCAAGGGCGGAGCTAGAGCTTCGGACGCTGGTTCGGCCGAACCCAGTAACTTTGGTCCAAACTCTGTATTTGTCTTTAAAAATTCATTGAATATGTATAAATTATTAATTTAGAATCCAGTAACTTAGAAGGAATAGAATCCCGAACCCATTGGTCGAATATTAACTTGCTTGAATATGTATAAACTCTGCCTCTGCGTGCATCCCATACATTGGTCGAATATTAACTTGCTTGATATAAATCTTTCTTTGACATGCAATCTAAGAATTCAATATCCGTGCAGGTGGCTGTCAGCAACACTAGTTGATTTCTATGTCAATATTGTGGCTCTCTCGGCAAGTTTTTCAATAGCTATCTTTTCTCTTAGTCTCACTGGTGTTTGAAGATTGCTGATCTTATATGGGTTACACTGTTTTACCAGGTCTGGGTTGCATATAAGGAATCAAGTTGGCTAAGTGCAGCTTTCTGGATAATACTATTAATTTGTTTTGGCAGGTATGTTTTTGCTGTTGGATTTATTCTAATATTAATTTATAAATGGTATCAGTTTGCAGTTAGCTCCATAGGTATATGACATCTTATTCATTGCTCTATATGTGTGAGAGCAACCTATGAAGTCTCATTCGTATATGGTGGAACGAGGAGTTCACAAATATATGTTTGCATACCTTCATATGATTCTGAATAGAAGGGGTTCAATGATATTGTCGAAATAACTTACAATATCTTGCTTGTCTGACAAGAGCTAAATTAAAATTCCAGCCTTTGCCTCTTGCAACAACTGCATTGACTAATATGCAATTTATGCCCACTTTGTTCCATCAAGCTTTAAGTTTCTAGAGTTTTTCTGAAGCATGAATATATATTTCCATCAAGAGTAACAATAGTCCAATCTAGTTCGTGTTTTCTGAGAGATTTAATACTAGTCTCCTAATTGCACTCCGACCTGCATATAATATGTTACAGATAAGACTCGAAATTATTAGATTTTTCATTTGTATTTGTCAATTGTCAGCATGCAAACAACCCCACTTTCCTCATGTCCTCTTGAAATGTCTCTTTCAACTTCATCATATGAATATAAGGGTGGCTTCATTATTTTCCATTGTGGGAGAAAAATATCTTTTTTTTTTCTTTTGTTTTCAATGGATACGTGTGTTCAAGTCGTGAGCATGTATTGGACCTGACTCCAGATGTTATAGCAATTGCAACAGCTCGTTTTGGACTATTTCTAATTCAGACTTTATGTTGATTTCCTCAGCATCAGCACATGCGCCTATATTGCTCTACAGCTTTTCAGTCTCTCATCTCAAGATCCCGTCTACCTTATTCTTTTCAGCAGCCGCAACAGGCAAGTTTGTGCACCATCTGTTTAAGCGTGTTCCCCTCGTTATGACATAAGAGTTTTATCTGTGAATCCTGTGAACAAGCAAATGATATTATTTCCTGCTAATTCTGCAGCGACAACAATAATACTGTACTATTGCATTTTGAGCAAAAATCCCTCCTTGACATCCTTGTTCTGGTCAAGTTAAACCATATTTAAAATTTGCTTATATTAGTGCAAGTGATTGAAACAATTTCAAGGTTGGTAAACAGAACTAGAAAGTCCAGAATATAGAGCTTTTTATTTGCTTCTGTTTTTCTAATGGAATATGGACTAACTTTCAGACTCTTTCTGCATTAAGGAAACCTTTCTTAAACCTGTAGGCAATGAATATATCAATGCGCTTAGTAGGTTAAAACAATTGACGAACCTTTTTCTTTGTTTTTGTATTTTACAATATTTGTTCAATCAAATATCATTTTGCGCTTCTTAACAATTCTGTACACATTAACAAGCATTTTTTTTCTCTGATAACTTCTTTGTTTACCGCATCTGTTTTTCTTTTTCCCCCATTTTCAGAAACTCACCTGTGTTGTAGTTGTTCTTACTAGGGCAGAAAACGGGTATGAAGGAATCAACTGAGTACGAAGCTTTATGCCTAATTTGGTTTGATTTGATAGTGGAACTCTTGAGCCATTCTTATTTTTTAAGAATACGTTAACTGTTATAAATAATATTAAAAATGAATGTCCATGTATTATGAAATTACTTAGACCAAATTATGGCCAAGTGGCATGGCTTTCAACAGGTAGGCCTTTCAACAAATGTCTAAGACCCTCAACAAGTGGCAAGGCCTTTCAACAAAAATATCAAGACTTTGGACAAGTGGCCAAATCCTTTCATGCAAAAGTGCCTATAAATAGGCCCAAACACTTGAAGAATATTAATGAAGAAAAGTTTATCAATTATCTCCCTCTAAGTTCCTCTTATTTTACTTTATTTTCTATTATTCCATAACACGTTATCAGCACGAGACTCTACCATTTCAAGAAGCTTTTTGAGAAGACTAAGGTATAATTTTTCTCCTCTTTTAATTATGACTGATATTATGAAAAGAAAATTTGTTGCCCTTGAAATTTCGGGCAGGAACTATATGTCATGGGTGTTGGATGCTGAAATTCATTTAGATGCAATGGATCTTGGAGACGTCATTAAAGATAAAAATAAAGTATCTACCTAAGACTGTGCTAAGGCCTTGATTTTCTTGCGTCATCACCTTGATGAAGGGTTGAAAATAGAATATTTCACAGTCAAAGATCCACTTGTTTTGTGAAATGACTTAAAGGAAAGATATGACAACTTAAAGTTGGTCACACTTCCACAAGCACGATATGATTGGGCTCATCTAAGACTCCAAGACTTTAAGTCTGTTTCTGAATACAATTCGGCGATGCTCAGAATTACTTCTAAATTAAAACTCTGTGGAGATAATATTACTGACTATGATATTGCATGGGAATTTATAAAGCACGCATGGATTATTATGTTCCATTCCTGCAGTGAATGTGAAAATAATGTGATAATCATTATGAATACATATTCATTCTTGGAAGAATATGAACATGCTAGTGGTAGTGAATATACCATACTCACCTCTAGAAGGGGATTTGAGATGAAATAAGAAAATAATGTCATTATTATGGCATGAATGGTCATTGGTCACGTACCTATTGTACGCTAAAATATTTTGGCAAGGTAATCATTAAAGGACAACAATAATGCAAGATACAGATCTTGCATTTAATTTTGACCATGACCATAATGGTATAACTTTCTCTTTAAAAGAGATATTCACTATATAGATGTTGATGAATATATGGTAGTACAAAAATAATTGAGAGTTTTGGAAGAGCCAATTATTACTATTTTTGAGGAATAAAATTAGTTATCATTAAGGTATTGTATTGTAGTAAGCTTCAAAGAAACTTATTGAATTTCTAAAGTATCCGCGAAAGCGGTTAGTTATATTGAAACTATAAATAATGAGAAGATTTAATACTTTATATTACTACAACTGTAGCAGGGTAATATGTATATGAAAATTACCCTCCTTATTTTCTGATATGTACTACATAAATAAAAAAATATGGTGAAATTACATGACACACTAAAATGGATGTTTATTGATATAAAAACCCATGTCATAGTAAACTGAGAGTTTAATTAACAATTGCACATATCATGATGTAAACTTGAAGTTTACTGATACAGACAGTTTTATCAGGCATGGCATATTAGCAATCTTGATTTAAGTATGATGTGCAAATATAAATGAGAATTCACATGGGTAAGTGTTGAAAAAGATTCTTCGTGAATTCTCTTATGTTGCTTGTTCTCGCGATTATTATACCAATTAAAATTGGGATTGAATCCCTTGAATTTTGGAATTTATCAAAGGTGAATATGGGCTCATTCATCTGCCATGTAAATGATGGTAGGTTATAATCTCGTATTTTAGTCACTTATTGCACTCTAATTCACTGCACTTTACTTATGTTGACCTTTAATTAGGCGTGTTTTGCACTTATTGTGTGTTTTATGCCCTGTAGGAGTGATTCCGAGCGATGTAGATGTTGTGGCATAAATTCATGCTATTTTGGAGCTTTGAAGTCTAAGTAAAATCCCAAGGATTAAGTTGGGATCGTGTTCGGGGATCAATGGATGATAGTGCACTTTAAGAACGAAACGAAGAATCGAGCAGGCATATTGCGCATTGGCGAGTAAAATACACATAACTTTTCGCTCAAAAATCTGTTTGGGCTCCAAAATATATCATTAGAAACCTATTTAAAAGGGCTACAACTTTCATGTTTTACGTTTTCCCAAATTCCCAATTCATGCCATATAGGTGAGCGATCGCGCACTGGGCACGCACTTGGGGCAGAACAATGTGCAAAATGTGCGACCAAGTACGCGAGCAGGTCTCCAGGTGCGCGGCCGTGCATGTCCTGTCCGAGAAGAGTCCTATTTCGCTAAGAAAAAGGTAGTTTCTTCCGGGGTTATTTGGGGGCAGCTTAAATACACCAAAATACCATTTTTGAGGCACCTTTGACATACCTTAAACCTAAGGAAGCTAAAGAGAAGAGGGAGAAGTAAGAGCACAAGGATTTTATCCTTCCTCACTTAAGATCCGGGTTTGGATTGTATTTATATTTTTCTAGACTTTTATTTCATTTGTGAAGAACTTCTCCATGTCTATGGAGTAGAACATTTTGGGTTTTGATGGATTTGGTGTATTGATGGTTATTTGTGGATTATAACTCTATTTTTATGTATTTGAATCGTTTTGGGAAGATTAAATTGTTGCATCTATGTTCACTTGTTCTTCTAATCAAGAAAGGCATAACTTGTGATATATTTGACTATATTGTTGGTTGAGTTCATAGATTCCTCGAAATAATAGAAAGAGACTAGTTGAATCCTTGATTAAACCTAGTTAGAAGGATAATCGAAAGAGGTTCTCCTAAAGACCAATCCATTACGAATTCTTGCATATCTTCACCGAACTTAAATTGGTTCATATTGTGAGGTGGAGACTTAATCGAGAGAGGAGTTTCTACTAAATAATTGTACTGATAATTAAGTGAATTCGAGAGACTCACTTGAACATTAGAAGTGAATTATCTAGAGTTAGATCACGAACAATTATCTTGCCCTATCCTATCAACACATATTTTTTCCCATCGATAACTTCCTTGCATACCTTTGTTGCGATTGTCATTAGTCAATATCTTTAGATTCTTAGTATTTGTAGTTAGAATTCATATATATCTCCATTGTTGATCCTCCTTGATAGTAATCTAGCTACAAACTTGATCCACGTGCCTCTATTTGTGAAAAAAAGGGTGCAAAAGATTATCCATTTGCAGAAAATAGCAAATCAAATACCACATGCATTTATGGATCTGAAAAGGATATTGAAATCACATATCCCTGCAGAGAATATTCCAATCTGTATTGATGTCCCTGTTGGACAATCTTCTAGTGTCATAGCTAATGAGTCAAAAGCACGCTTAAAATGTGGCAGACCATTGGGTTCTAAGGATCGAAATCCTAGAAAATGAGATTCATGAGGAAATCAATGAGCCTCAAACTCAAAAAAAAAAGGAACTATCAATAAATTCAATCGATATTGAGACAGATTTGAATCGATTGAATATAGTGGTGAATTATGTCTTTGCATACGATGTTGCATCTAGCATTATGCAAGATAATGAGGATCTTGAACCTCATTCTGTTGGAGAATGTCGACAAAGACGTGATTGGCCAAAATGGCAAGAAGCAATCCAATATGAGTTGGATTCACTTGTGAAATGTGACCTTTTTGGGCATGTAGTCCAAACACTAATGGTGTTAAGCCTGTTGGCTATAAATGGGTCTTTGTACGTAAGAGAAATTAGGTACAAATATACAAGACACGCCTTGTTGCACAAGAATTTTTACAAAGGCCTAGTGTCGATTATGAAGAGACATATTCACCTATTATGGATGCAATAACATTTCGTTATCTCATTAGTTTTGCTATCCATGAAAAGCTTGACATGCATTTAATGAATGTGGTTACAGCCTACCTTTATGGCACACTTGATAACGAAACATACATGAAAATTCCCGATGGATTTAAAATGCCTGACACACATAACTCAAAGTCCGAGAAATATTTTTCAATCAAATTGCAAAGATCTTTGTATGGTCTAAAGTAATCAAGAAGAATATGGTATAACCGCCTTAGTGAGTATTTATTAAATGAAGGTTATATAAATGATGCCATTTATCCATGTATTTTTATAAAGAAAATAACATCGGAGTTTGTTGTACTTGCCGTATATGTTGATGACATAAACCTTATTGGAACTCCTATAGAACTCCAAAAGGCAATTGATTAATTAAAGAAGGAATTCGAGATGAAAGATCTCGGAAAGATAAAATTATGTCTCGATTTACAAATTGAACATTTGGCAAACAAAATTTTTGTTAATCAATCTGCCTACATAGAAAAGGTATTGAAACGGTTTTACATGGATGGAGCACGTCCATTAAGTACTCCGATGGTTGTTCGATCACTTGCTGTGAATAAGGACCCGTTCTGACCTCAAGAAAAGAATGAAGAGCTTCTTGGTCATGAAGTACCATATCTTAGTGCACCATCTTGCTAATACTACAAGGCCTAACATAACTTTTCCAGTTAATGTTTTAGCAAGATATAGCTCTGATACCAAATTTGTCACGCCCCGATCTCGGGGAGCATGATCGACGCTCAACCGAGTGAACCCGGATGAGCAAGCCTGTTAGATTTTCTTCTACCCAAACCCATCCTTGAATAAAGAGGATATGCACTTCATTAATAAAACACTGACAAAATTTCATTAACAACTCCCATTTTATTTCCATTAGCAGCTTCATTCATAATTTCTAAAATATTACAAGTTTATAGATATAATAAAAAATATGTTTGCCAAATACCAACATTTTTAGTTCAATTCCCCACATCAAACACCACCCACAACCTGTCTACGAAGTCTCTAAGTATAACAAAAGAGTAATATGGAAAATGCTGGCAGCAAGGCCCCGGCTATACCTCAAAACACAAAGTACAACATCAAATGATATCAGGCCCGGAATAGAGTAGGGCTCACCAAAACCTGTTGAATAGGGAGTAACTGCTAACGAGGACCAAAGTTGCCCGCTGAAGAACCACCTGCATCTATTGAATATGCAATGCCCCCGGCAAAAGGAACGTCAGTACATATAGAATAGTACTAGTATGTAAAGCTAACTATCCTCTTTCAAAATATAATGTCCTTATAAGAAAGGGAAAACCATAGAAACAACAACTCACAATCAATAATATCCAAATGCCCAGTTAAAACATAACAATTTTCAAAATACGAAAATAATTTATATATTTGGTTG